TTAATTTGGTATAAATATCTCATTTTTGAATCTGAGGGTCGAAACCCACTTTTTCCTAGAACAGCCCCCATATATACCTTTCCTAAAAAAATGATTCCGTCATATTATTAATTTTGAAAACCAATTATTAAATAAAAACGCGATTAGTTACCCATTTCACGAAGATAATCCGTTATTGCTTTATCAAAAGTAATTCCAGGTGGTAATTTGGGTTTTTGGCTTTCTGGAATATTTTCTAAATGGAGTTTGAAATCTTCCACCAGTCTTGGTAAAAGTTTATATGTATGTCTTTTTCTTCTCCTAGGCTCAGACCTTAATGCATCAGCTCCCCAAGAGACAACTTCTTTATAGTCTTCGTCGTATTGTAATACTGTATTGGGTTTATAAGGACTTTTGAAATGGCCCCATTCTTGATTCACTACAATTTCTATCTTCTCTTTCTCTGGTTTAATGTAAGCATAAGAAAACGTCTGATAAAGGAAGGAGACAAGGTATTGGTTATAGAAAGGTAAAAAATAAAAATAGCACGTAGTGATTAAGTTACCGAAAATTTTGTGCCGAATTCTGAATTTAAAGTATAAAAAAGACAATGTTTCGTCAGAAAAAATTTTATGTAAGAGATCCTTTAGGTTTATATGCTCACCTACTCCAACAACTATAAGTATTTTCTCCTCTTTAGCAAGTTCAAAATCAATACAGTCATGTAATACCATAATGATAAAATGTCAAAAATTACAAATTTGATACAATCATTACTAAATTAATGAGCATCATTTGCCTCACAAATAATCCTATTAGAAGTCATTAGTAACCTTTATTGTTATTATGTGCGATCTACTTTTTTATTGAATATTAATTGACGATCCGCGAATAAATCGGAGAGTCTTACATAGTGATCAGCGGAGGAAAATTGACACAAAAAAAATGACCACCTTTGCATGAAAAATTGTACTATACTTTTGTTCCACTACATAAATTTTTTTTTAGCGTGCAGATAAAACATAACTCAGAAAACATATTAATATATTTTATTTTACCTTTACTTAAGCAAAGAAAAAAGTTTACTCTTTAGCACTCGTGGATTGTTGGAAATTTTTATATAGAAAATTTTGTTTTTTATGTGTAATGTTCGTTTTTAACAAGAGAAAATAGTAATAGTAATAGTAATAGTAATAGTTTTATTATTATTGAATCTTAATTGCATTTACAATAATAAAAAATTCTTTTTTTTCTATATACAGTTCACTCTATAACAGACCATTTGACTTAGTATTAGTATTAGTATTAATATAACTAGGAAAAAATGTTTATTATAGATAATCCGTTATCAGCAATAATAATTTATATATTAATATATTAATATTTGACATATAGGTCGGGCTTAATATTAATATCAATATTCTCAGTATGTTACAGAGGATCCATTATTATTAGAGAGTGTGAGTGGACTCTATAATAAATATTCTTAAAGGTAAAGGTTTAATGAATTCAAAAGTCATGGATTATCAATTAAATTTATTGTTAAAAACATTATACATGTGAAGTTAATATTAATATTATTTTTTTTTACATTAATTATCCATATTAGTATTCTTAACTGCTTGTTTTTTATGATTTTGATTAAATCTAAATATCCATTATTTGATTTGTTGGAGAGAAGGGATTTTTCAATTATGTTTAAATCATGCCTTTTTACCACCACTTTTTTCCCAAATTTTTGTTTACTTTTTAAAGCAAATCGTGGTATGAATTTTTCATACAATAAATTTAAGTCATTATCATCTATTGACAATGATATCTATTGGTTCAAAATTAGTAATGGGTTTGATAACGATTATAAAAGTTTTATTGTTATTGTGTAACGGACATTTATTTTTTGAAAATTTTATATAAATTTCTGATTTATAGACGGATCGTCAATTAAATATTGTAAAGAAATTTTCCAGGGTCAAAATTTTTCATGACTATTTTGAAACTTATTGTTAATCTTTTTATTTTTGGTTGAAACCATATTTGCATAAACTTATTATTATAATAATCAAAATGTTCATGATCTGGCCCTTCAAATCCTAGTAACATCAATATCATTCGTCGATTTATTAATTTATTATATGAATTTGTCTTGATAGGAAAAACTGCTATGTTTGACAATGGAATTGAATAAAATTATATAAGAATATGTTTTAATAAAATATCTATTGTGTTGTTTTGTAAATTAGTATCAACAATATGCTTTCTCTTAATTCATCACCGTTTATAATTACATGAAAGTATCATCAGAATTTCAGCAAATACATTAATTTAATTATCATAAATTAATCATATCATTTGAATTTTGACTTGAAATGATGACGATATTTCATTACATTGGATGCCCTCTTTCATCTCTTGAAACAACATTTTATTATTACAATCTGATGAAAAATTATTAGACCTATTAATTACCATTAATTAAAATTTTTAATGGTTTTAAGCATTTGTAACTTACATTTGATCTAAAGACTTTTTGATATTATCACACTACGTAACAAATAACAACTTGGTTTTTATCCGTAAAGATTACTTTCAAATTTTTATCAACTTTATCAGCTTCACAAAGATTAAATCCAATTATTGGAAATGCACAAATATCAACATATAAATCTTCAAGATCATGTCCATCCCAAGATGCATTCATCATAATAGTATTGATGCTTGTTTTATATTCAAAAATTTTCCAATTGGCAACACTTTTAATCCGAAAAAAATATACAAACTTGCCTAACAATCTCATCGATCATGCTTTCAATTTCTGACAAACTTGTTTGGATTTGTAATTGTACGATAACAATTCATTAAATCTAAAATGTCTTTTTGTAGTGTTGTTATCAATGGATGTTTTTTGTCTTTGCCTACGACAATATTGGAAAATCCGCGATTTCCAAGAACACCATAAATTTGTTGACGTAATTTCGTTGAAGTAGCTTTGCTAGCTTATCATTTCAGACACAATTAAACGTGTCAATCTCAATAGTTGTTTTGTTGTCTCAACTATTTTCACTTCTAGACTTTCCGAACTTTGTTGCTGTTTTTCGTAACATCATTATCATTTTCAATGATGGAATCGATCACGTGACGTTCCAATGCGCTAGAAATGTTTTTACTATTATGTATTTTATTGATAAATTTTCTCAATAGTTCTTTTACTTCCAACTCATTAATGTTAATTCTTTTTTCAGTCCACAAAATTTATCTAAATTTTGATGTAAATTGCGAATGTCTTTTGATAATTGACCAAGACTATTGGAATCTTGAATTCCTAATTGAAAACTTGTTGCTGATTGATATTTGATAGCTTCTTTCTTTAAATTAACATTATCTTTATCAAATCATTAATATTTTTATCTTTTGAAATTAATAATTCCTCTAATTCTTGACAAGTTGCTTGAAGATTTTGATAGTTGTTTTCGAGCATTTTATTTCGTGATTGAAGTTTACTACTACCATAACTTAAAAAGTTCCTTTCATATACTTGATTTTGTATTTTTACTTTTTTCCAATTCATTGATTTTATTTATTTTTTACTTCTAATTTATTATTTTTACTTTCCAACTCAACCTTTTTCCTTTCCAATTCCAATTCATTGTTACTACCCTCCGATTCATCCTTTTTCTTTTCATTGTTATCACTTTCCAATTAATTGTTATTATTTTCCAACTGATGTTGGTATTGGCATTGATTCATCACCATCTCTACACCTTCCATCCCCATTTTTTCTTCTATTTTTTTATTTTCCATGTGTTTTTTTTAAAATATTAAAAGCATTTTTATTAATTATATAATACTCTCCAACATCAAGATAGTCTGTTGGTTTTGTGACCACAAATTGTTGTAATAATTGTTGTCGTATAAATAGTTGCTGAATGTCTGAGAGAATTAGGAGATGTTGCTCTGTATGTTGTTGATGATACTGTAAAAAATGCTGTTTATATTGTGCGAAAAGTAGTTGATATTCTGTGGGTTGTTTCAGATATTGTAAAAACTGATATGCCAATGTCGTTGATTTAAGTGCGTGAATATATCATAAACAATTGTATTGTCCTCTGGAGTGTATACCATTTTAAATTTAAAGAGAATAAATAATACATTACAATAATATGCCGTTCAAAAAAAACCAGAAAACCAAACCGAACCGTTGAACCTGTTTTAATCATGTGATCTAAATGTGCAAAGAGAATTTATGCATCTAAAATATACTAGAGTACTTAAAATATTTATTGCTTTTGGCATGATTGAAAGGTGCATAAAACATACAACCAACTCACTAATTCCAATCCTTGCTTGGCACCAGCATTTAATCATCAATGATAAATTATGTATGCAAATTCCCTTCTACACACTATTATCACTGGTTTGTTTTCAGCTGTAAGTGCAATAACTTTGTTTAAAATATTAAACCATTCTGCCTTTGATACCTTAAATTTGATATTTCTGCTACTTTCTTAATGCAGAGATCATTATCAGTAGCTGAAATGATTAAAGTAAATTCCTGGTATTATTTTTTACCCTTGAATTTCCATATAACAAATAATAATAATCAGATTTTCTTTTTTTTTATAAGACTAACAAAACAGGTAAAATATGATCAATAGATAGTAATAGCAACTGAATCAACTGCCAACAATTATTTATATATTTATTTTAAATACAAAGATAATAAGACTACACATGCAAATTTTAATACAGCAATATTAATTATTTTTATCACCAAATATAACATTATGTTTCAGACATGGAATGATATAATTGTCTAATATTTTTTTTAAATGTAGTGCGATAAACTTTACCAGTAGTTCTATTCTTTGCTGTTGCAACAATTTCCATAGATCCAAAATGTAATGTTACTTGTACAGAACGATTGAGCCCCAAATGAGTGTCAGGCATATCAACATCAAAACTACCCAATTCTTTCACCTCAGGTTCATCACAATATGTTGCATCATATTTGGTGGTATAAAAAAAGTGAAGTGTTCCACTGGTTTGATTGGGGTTAATAGGGCCCAAATAACTGGAAAATTCTTTGTTAACATTCACCTCTGTTCCTTTCCTGGCCATCAAACTAAACTTGTAGATTCGGCCATTTATTGTTTTACGAGATAGTGGATCACCAGTTTGCTAATGTTAAAAAAGTTAGTTTTGTTATTTGGATAATATAATATTGATAATATATTACTGTTTAGTTTTGGTTGATGATGCTTACCCATTTATCACTAATTTTAATTCCATATGACCATAATAATACTCTTGTTCTTACAATCTTCCTATCAAGTCCATATTCACATGCACCCTTTACTATTGCAGTAATTGGATTGGGTGGAACTATAATAAACAAAATATTTATTAACTGATTGCTTTAATTTTTCTTTTTTCTTTAAAAAAAAGGGTCAGCCAACCAACATACTTGCTATTTTCAATTTATCTTCAAATTTTTGTTTAATTCTAGATTGAAGATATTTTGATTCACTAAATCCTCCAACCAAAAACATCACTGAACAGTCTGAACATTTTGATAACTGTTTCTCAATCAACTTCAAAATTTTGTTGATTACTGGATCAAAAAATGATTTCACAGTATCAAAATCAAGATCAATGACCCATTCATCCTCATCTGATAATTGATCTCTTTCTGACCCAGTGACATATTGCTTAAGTGCTGGACATTTTTTCTCAATGTCCAATTCAATGGTTTTGAATTGGGATTTTTCACCAGTGAATGGAATTTTAATATCAGGACAAAAATATTTATGTATTAAATAATTAACCTGACCGTAGTATTTCTCCTTTAACATGTTCATTGCAGATTTACCTACTCTACTTTCAAGAAATTTTAAAAACTCATCATCAACATAGGTACCTCCACAAAAATCTCCTGAACGTTCAGTCATTTCTGCTATTTGTTCATTTGGTAATAATTTTCTAACTGTTAAGTCCACAGTTCCTCCACCACAATCAACAACCAAGTATGTTACTAAGTTAAATCATACAGTGAAAATGCTATTTAGTAAATTATAAGGTAAATAAAGTGAGCCAAAAAGCATTATTATATATACCTTCTGTTACTAATTTGAGATCTTTTAATGTATTTATACAATGAATTGCAGCAGCTTCCGCTAAAATTTATATCAAGTATATTAGATGAAAATCAATCATGTCATAATGGCTTAAAAATGCTTTCTTACGTTCAGTGGTAAATTGAAGATTTAGTGTGCCAATAGATTTAATCAGGCCAGCATTGTATATACATTTTCTCATAATTGTCTTGGTATCTTCAATGAATTCTAAAATGATGATTTTTAAAATAGTTAGTATATTGTGTATATAAATGTGTGTGAGTTTATAAATATAATAGCTAGTTACCGGCAGGTACTGTGAAAACAAGTCGCACTTGATTGTAAAAATCAATTCCATACCAGTGTTTTTTTACGTTCTCTTTGATTGTCTATCATATCATAAAAAATTCAATATAAACTAAATTATAATTATGTAGCAAAAAAGCAGACATTGTTAAAATTTTAACAATGCCTGCTTTTCTGCTTCATATAAACTGGAAATACAAAATATTTTTATTATCATACCTTTCCTAAAAAAAAAAGATTTCGTAATTAATTTTGAAAACAATTTTTTATGAAATAGTAAGACGTGATTGGTTACCCATTTCACGAAGATAATCCGTTATTGCTTTATCAAAAGTAATTCCAGGAGGTAATTTGGGTTTTTTGCTTTCTGGAACATTTCCTAAATAAAATTTGAAATATTCCACTGGTCTTGGTAAAGGTTTATTGGCAAGTCTTCTTCTTCTACTAGGCTCAGAGCTTAATGCATCAGCTCCCCAAGTGACAACTTCTTCATAGCTTTCGTCGTATTGTAATACTGTATTGGTTTTATTAGGACTTTTGAAATGGCCCCATTCTTGATTCACTACAATTTCTATCTTCTCTTTCTCTGGTTTAATGTAAGCGTAAGAAAACCCCTAATAAAGGAAAGAAGCAAAGTATTAGTTAATTAAAGGCGAAAGATAAAAAAATAAAAATAGCATATAACAATTGAGAATAAGTTTACCGAAAATGTAGTGCCAAAATCTGAATTTAAAGTACCATAAAAAAAAGACAACATCTCATTAGAAAAAATTTTCTGTAAGGGATATTTTAGGTTTATATGCTCACCTACTCCAACAACTAAACGTATATCATCGCTTTCAGGTTCGAATTCAATACAGTCATGCAATTCCATAATAACGAAATATAATTTTTAATCAAAAATTACAAAAATACATAAACAGTATATATCAAAACAATCATTACTAAATTAATAAGTACCATTTATTCTTTATTTGATATTTGTCATTCGGAATTTATTCTCAGGCTCGGATAATAATAAAACTAATGATGAAATGTAAGTTATAAATGGTTAACGCCATTAAAATTTTAATTGATGTAATTAATATTTTTATAGGTTTAATGATGGAAGAAGGCATTCAATATATGAAATACTGTCATCATTTTCAAATTTTAATTTTATGATAATGAAAAAAAGCAATGTTCTACAAAATACATGATCGAACTAACGCATTCGTTGAAATTCTGATGGTGAACCCAATCAATATCATCAAGCAGTTATAATTGGTGATGAATTAATAGAAGAACTGTATAATTATAAGAATATCATTGATGCTCATTACAAATCAACAAGTCTTAAATTATTAGATATAATTTATTCAATCCACTGTCAAATATAGCAGGTTTTCTCAGCAAAACCTTATCAAGAGATAAATTAATAAATTGACAAATACTAGGGTTAGAATGACCAGATCATGAACATTTTTGACATTTTGATTATAATAAGGCTATGCAAATATGGTTTAAATCAAAATATAGAAGGATTAACAATCAGCTTCAAAAAATAGTCGAAATTTTTAAATTACAAATATGAAAAAATTTTGGCCCCGGAAAATTTCTTGACTGCTCCCCTAAAAAAAGGAAACACATGTTAAAACCCAAATTAACTTTAAAAAAGATTGTTAGGATATACAATATTTAATATTCAATAAAAAGTAAATTGCACATAATAACGATAAAGGCTGCTAATTATTTCTAGTGGGATTATTTGTGTTGTGTTTTCAAGTTTTCATTAACTTTGTCTGTTTCAGAAAGTTGGATCCAATTATTGGTAATGCACATATAAATCTTCAAGTTCGTTTTCATCCTAAGATGCATCCATCATAAAGTATTTATTCTTGATTTATTTTCAAAAAATCTCCTCCAATGGGCAATAGGTTCTTCTTGTACCTTTAATCCGAAAAAAAAAATACCAACACAATTTCATCAATCATGCTTTCAATTTCTGGATTTATAATTGTATAATAACGATTCACTAAATCTAAAATATCTTTTTGTGATGTTGCAATCAACGGATGTTTTTTGTCTTCTTCACATTGGAAAATTTACTATTCCCAAGAACACCATAAATTTGTTGACGTAATTTTGTTGAAAGTGGCTTTACTAACTTCATCGGTTCTGATTAAGGTTTTCAGTTGAAACTACCTCTCTTAGTAGCTGAAATTGTCGAAAATTTTGGGCAAAAATTATTTTTATAGGCCCAAACTATTTTTTATCAACAGCCAAAACTGAGCGAAATTAATTTTAAATTAAAATAGGTTGATTTATATAGCTTTTTCATGTTATAAAAAACATTGAGAAGCCCAAACTATTGCCAAAGCTACTTTTTTTTTCGAAAATAATTTGGACCGGAAACCTTAGTTCCTACACGATTTGTTGAAATTGAATGTGTCAATTTCAATAGTTGTCGTGTTGTATCAACTATTTCTATTCCAAATTTTCCAAACTTTTTTTGTAATCCTCTTTATTATCTTTTTGCCATCATTATCATTATCTTCAAAGTAATTGTTGGTTTTTCAATGATGGTCTCGATCACATTATGTACCAGCATACCAGAAATCAAGTTTTTGCCATTATGTGTCTGATTGGTGATTGAACAACCAAATTTCCCAAAAGTTCTTTTACCTCTGACTCATTAATGTTAATCCCTTTTTTTCAGTCCACAAAATTTTTATGCAAGCTGCGAACGTCTTTTGATCGTTATTAGAATCTTTACTTCCTTGTTGAAAACTGTTGCATCAACCAAAGCTGATTGATTCTTTCTTTCGAGTCAACATTATCTTTTGTCAAGTCATTAATATTTTTATCTCATAAATTTATAATTCCTGATAATTTGTTTGAAGATTTTGATATTTGTTCTCAAGCATTCTATTTTGTGATCGAAATTTACCATCATTATTTAAAAGGTCTTCCAATCCCTATTATACACCTGATTTTGTATTTTGACTTTTTTTTCCAATTCATTTTTTTTCTTTTCAATTCTAATTCATTGTTATTATTTTCCAATTTATGTTGGTATTTACTTCTTCTACACCTTCCATGCCCATTGTTTCTTCAATTCTTCTTTATTTTCCATGTGGTTTTTTAAATTATTGAAAACATCTTTGTCAATTATATAATGCTCTTCAATATTAAGATGATCTGTTGGTTTTGTGACTTGTTTATGCACAAATTGTTGTAATAATTGCTAAATTTGTAAGAGTTTCTAAGAAAATTAAGCCATGTTGCTTTGTGGGTTGTTGATGGTATTGTGAGAAATGCTGTTGGTTTTATGAGGAAAGTGGTTGATATTCTGTGGGTTGCTGTGCGAGTTATTTCAGGTACTGTAAAAAATGATATGGCAGTTTTCCTGTGGGTTGATGCCATTGTTTTGAGCGTTGTTGCAGTTTATGAAAGGAATTTTGTCATTGATTTAAGAGTGCTTTCAATGTTTGTGTGAATTGTTATCATAAATGATTTGTATTGTCTTCTAAAGTGCTAATCGTGTGATCTAAATATATCCACTGTAACAGAGAATACTTGCTTTAAAGCAACACTAGCATAATAATAAAGGTGAACTTTCATTGATCGGAGTGAGGGTGCAGACATATTGCCGAATTATAATTCATATTTACGACACGGTTATGTCGTAACTGTTGTATGGTGTAATACCGTATGCCGTGACTGTTTATCTTTCTTTTTTTAAGTAATGCCATAAATCAAAAAATGACCTAGGTGGCCTCATTTGGTGATCCTGCGTCATCCTCAAGTGTTCATATGTCTGCACCTTTAATCGAAAGAGCAAGATGACAATTATCGTTGTTGTCGTTGATATTGATGATAAAAATGCATTATTAGTAAAATTACTTTATCTTCGAAGATTTACATATTAATATTTGATATAGCTGTTCGTCTTCTCAAACATTTACTTAGATATATTAATGCAAAAATCAAGAGCACTTAAAAACATATTTATTGTCTTGAAATACATAAAACATACTTAAATCGAAATATGCATATTTTAGAGAATTCATTATGTTTTAAGAGCATTCTTAATGGGGCAGTTAGCAATACTGGAATAGGCTCACGTTTCAACATGGTTTAAAATATTAAACCTTTCTGCCTTTGATATCCCCAAATCTGATATTTCAACTGCTTTCTTAACTCAGAGTTCATAATTAATAATTGAAAATAAAATAAATTCCTGATATTATTTTTTTTTACCCTCGAATTTCCATATAACTGAATAACATTAATTAGATAATCATATCATTTTTGATTAAAGACTAAACGAAAACAGGTAAAATATGATAACAATCATCTATTTATTTATTTAAAATGCAAAGATACATGCACTATTAAATAATATATAATAAAGATTAGCTTTTGTTACTAATACAAACTAATTTTTTATATGAATAAATGATATTGTGTTTCAGGCAGAATAATATTATTATCTAATCTTTTTTAGATGAACTTCACCATTCCATTCTTCCTCCTCAAAATTATTGTCTCGAATGACAGTTTGCATGTTAGACTTTCCATTATCATCATCCTCTTCATGATCATTTGTAAAATCAGGTGCATTCAGATTCAAGATTCTAAGTATTTCCTCTACTGGAAACGTGAAATATCATGTATTTCTTCAGTAACTTCCAAATTTTCATAAAATCTGTACTACACAATATATCATGTAAATCTTCGACGGTGATTCATTCTTCGAGTTGAAAGATTGAAAGAAAAAAGTTTTTGCATTTTCTTAAGAAAAATCATATTTTACGCTTCCCATAATACCACCCTAATGTGGACCAAATTCTTTCACAGCCAGCTGCATGCGGTGTTATAGAAAACAACTTATCAACTAACTGGCGAACGTGATCTTCATCCTTTTGAAAATTATATTCTAGAGAAAACCACCATATAAAAGAGACTTATCAGTATCAAAAGACATGTCAAAAGGTGGTTTTCGACCCCGATAGATTCTCGTTTGAACATTAGTTCTTTCTTCTGTTTTCTGTTTATCTGCTATAAGTAAAATACGTCGTAATGTTCCCTTTGCCTATAATTATTTTAGGATTATTATAATCCTTAAAAATATAATACCATCATATCTGGGATGTAATAAAAAACATAATATATATATATATACACGCCATTGGTAAATATAGAAGATTAAATCTCTTAAACCAAAACGTTCAAAGAAATGGAACAATAAAATATTTGGTAAAATTCGTTGCACACAAATTGGGATTTGTGTAATAAATAAATGTTCCACAATTTTGTTTAAACAATTCAGAAGTCCTTACAAACTATACAAGCATTCCAAGAATTTTTAAAACAACGATAAAAATTCTTTAAGAACCGAAACAACGCTTAAAACAATCCATACAGCAATCATAATATTAGAAACATCTCTCACAACACCAGCAAAACCTCTATCAGAAACTCAGCAACTACTCTTTATGAATTCAGCAAATATTTATTTATTATTTAGAACAATTCGCAGATAAACAAGTCACAAAAGCAAACAGATCATCTTAAATTTGGAGAATATTACATATAATTAGTAAAGCTGTTTTGATAATTTAAAAAAACACATGGAGAGTGAGAGTACAGGTATGGAGGATGTACAGATGGTGGCGGATACGATAGATGTAGTAATGGAAGAAAGTAAAAACAATGAATTGGAAAATAAATTCATTGAGTTGGCAAATAAAAACAATGAATTGGAAAATAAATTCATTGAGTTGGCAAATAAAAACAATGAATTGGGAAATAAAATCATTGAGTTGGAAAATGAATTGAAAAATAAAAACTATGAATTAGAAAGTAAAATCAGTATAATCAATGAATTTGGAAGCAAAAACAATGAATTGGAAAGTATAATCAATGAATTGAAAAGTAAAACTAAAAAATTAGAAAGTAAAATCATTGAATTGGAAAACATAAACAATGAAACAGAAGAAAAATTCATGGAGTTGGAAAGTAAAAATGAAGGATTGGAAATGAGAAACAAAAAATTGAGAAAAAACAGCAAGAAATTGAAAACTATAAAGGATGAATTAGAAAGTAACAACAATCTGTTGAAAAGTAAAAACGATGAATTAGAAAGTAACAACAATCTGTTGAAAAGTAAAAACAATGAATTGGAAATCAGAAACAAAGGAAAAAGTCAAAAATCATTTGGGAGCACACTTGTGGGGGGAATTATGTTGAACCTTTTAAATCCTAAAGAACTTCAAATAACTTGTCAAAAATTAGAGGAATTATTAAATTTAAAAGATAAAAAAATTGATGACTTGACAAAAAATAATAATAACTTAAAGGAAGAAGCTATTAAATATCAATCAGCTTTGGGCGATGCAACAAGTTTTCAACTAGGAAGTCAAGATTCCAATAGTGCTGGTCAATTATCAAAAGATATTGGCAATTTACATAAAAATTTAGATAAATTTTGTGGGCTGAAAAAAGGTATTAAAATTAATGAATCAGAGGTAAAAAAGCTCTTGAGAAAATTTGGCTGTTGGAGTTGGAAAGTAAAAATGAAGGATTGGAAATGAGAAACAAAAAATTGAGAAAAAACAGCAAGAAATTGAAAACTATAAAGGATGAATTAGAAAGTAACAACAATCTGTTGAAAAGTAAAAACGATGAATTAGAAAGTAACAACAATCTGTTGAAAAGTAAAAACAATGAATTGGAAATCAGAAACAAAGGAAAAAGTAAAAAATAATTTGGGAGAACACTGGTGGGGGGAATTATGTTGAACCTTTTAAATCCTAAAGAACTTCAAATAACTTGTCAAAAATTAGAGGAATTATTAAATTTAAAAGATAAAAAAATTGATGACTTGACAAAAAATAATAATAACTTAAAGGAAGAAGCTATTAAATATCAATCAGCTTTGGGCGATGCAACAAGTTTTCAACTAGGAAGTCAAGATTCCAATAGTGCTGGTCAATTATCAAAAGATATTGGCAATTTACATAAAAATTTAGATAAATTTTGTGGGCTGAAAAAAGGTATTAAAATTAATGAATCAGAGGTAAAAAAGCTCTTGAGAAAATTTGGCTGTTCAATTGCTGGTAGTAAGATACATAATAGTAAAAATCTGATTTCTGGTGTGTTAGAACGTCATGTGATTGAAACCATCATTGAAAAAACCCAAAATTACTTTAATAATGATAAAGGCAACAAACAAGATGATGAACAAGATGATGAGAAACAACAAAGTTTGGAAGTGAAAATGGTTAAGACAACAGAGCAACTCTCAAAGTTGACAGATTCAATTTCAAAATATCGCACTGGAGATGAAGAAGTTAGCAAAGCTACTTCAACAAAATTACGTCAACAAATTTATGGTGTTCTTGGAAATCGTGGATTTTCCAATATTGCTGTAGGCAAAGAAGACAAAAAACATCCATTGATTGCAACATTACAAAAAGATATTTTAGATTTAATGAATTGTTATCGTACAATTACAAATCCAGAAAAGTTGTCAGAAATTGAAAGCATAATTGATGAAATTGTTAGGCAAGTTGTTAGTATATTTTTTTTCAGATTAAAAGTACAAGAGCCTGTTGCCAGTTGGAAATTTTTTGAATATAAAACAAGCATCAATACTATTATGATGGAAGCATCTTGGGATGAAGATGAACTTGAAGATTTATATGTTGATATTTGTGCATTTCCAATAATTGGATTTAATCTTTGTGAAGCTGACAAAGTTGATAAAAATTTGAAAGTAATTTTTAAGGCACAAATCATCACCAATCATCCTACTAGAAGTCATTGGTAGCCTTTATTGTTATTATGTGCAATTTACTTTTTTGAATATTAAATACTGTAATATTATGTGTATTTCTAACAACCTTTTTTTTTTAATAAAGTTAATGAGAATTTTAACATGTGTTTTCCTTTTTTAGAAAAGTAGCCAAGAAGTTCTCCAGGGTCAAAATTTTTCATGCAAAAATTTTGACTATTTTTTGCCTTGGGGATTTTTCTTTGTTGAGGGGGATTTTAAAACAATTTATTATAAACCGAAACTGATTGTTGATTGTTTTATCTTTTGATTGAAACCATATTTACATAGTGTTGTTTATTATCAAAATGTTCATGATCTGGTTCTTCTAATCCTAGTAACATCAACATTATTTGTCGATTTATTATATAAATCTGAGAAAAACTGCTATGCTTTACAATGGAATTGGATAAAATTATATCTAAAAATATATTTTAGTAAAATATCTATTGATGTTATTTTGTAATTAGCATCCTATAACTATATAATTCTTCTCTTGATTTATCATCATTTATAATTGCATGAGAATACATTAATTTTATTTACTCAAAAAATGTGCATACAACTATACTATTTGAGGAGTCTCTAAAAAAGGAATTCCTGACTAATAACTAAAGGCTGGCGAACAATTAATCATTAGAAAGGGTTACGAAACCATTCACAATGGCTTTGCCTCTTCAACTATCCAACAATTCGTAATAAGAGATAATTTTAAAATGTGTCTATTTCAGTATTATTAATTAATTAATTAGTTTATATGTTTGAAAGGTTATCTATCTAAAAGTTGTATTTTAACTCTAATGAATTCAATACGTTTAAATACTTGGAATTTCACGAAATTGTAAAGGTAGCATTCTTTGATGGCTAACTGTCTCTGATAGCAAAAATACCTCTTGATCGTTATATAATCATAAGAACAAAAGGACAAATAATGAAATATTTATATTAATATTAATATCAAACAAACTCCGTGTTGTACAATAATTCTGGTAAAGGATCCATTATCTCAACAAAACCTTATCAAAGATAGATTTATCTAATAATTGGCAAAATGATGTTGATATTGGAAGATCAGGCCATGAACATTTTTGATTAGAATTAAAATTTCCATCAAAATCTTTCCAAGACGGAATTTTTGCTAACTATTTTTTACCTTGGAAAAATTTGACTAATTTTCAACATTTATATTTAAAACCCAAATTAACTTTATTAAACAGGTAAAAAAGGATTGTTATGATATATGGGGCGCAACAAGCAGAAAGGCATTTTTATCAAATTTGGGTTAAGATCACATCTATATGTAATCTGCCTTGAAGAACATGGTTAGCTTAGGAACCATACCCACATATCTCAATAATATTTTTTAAATTTATAAAATCCTTCAGATGTTGCTGATCTTTATTTTTGACAATTTCTCTAAATTAGATTTTTGCCAATGGTCCTTTTCTGCTTGTTGCACCCATGATGTTAAGATACTAATATATTTAATATTCAATAAAAAAGTAAATTTTACATTACTAGCAACTTCTAGTTATTTGTAATGATTTGTGCCTTAAAAATTACTTTCAAATTTTTATCAACTTTGTCAGCTTCACAAAGGTTAGATCCAATTATTGGGAATGCACAAACATCAACATATAAATCTTCAAGTTCATCTTCATCCCAAGATGCTTCCATCATAATAGTATTGATGCTTGTTTTATATTCAAAAAATTTCCAACTGGCAACAGGCTCTTGTACTTTTAATCTGAAAAAAAAAATATTAACAACTTGTCTAACAATCTTATCAATCATCTCTTCATTTTCTGACAACTTTTCTGGATTTGTAATTGTACGATAACAATTCATTAAATCTAAAATATCTTTTTGTAATGTTGCAATCAATGGATGTTTTTTGTCTTCTTTGCCTACAGCAATATTGGAAAATCCACGATTTCCAAGAACACCATAAATTTGTTGACGTAATTTTGTTGAAGTAGCTTTGCTAACTTCTTCATCTCCAGTGCGATATTTTGAAATTGAATCTGTCAACTTTGAGAGTTGCTCTGTTGTCTTAACCATTTTCACTTCCAAACTTTGTTGTTTCTCATCATCTTGTTCATCATCTTGTTTGTTGCCTTTATCATTATTAAAGTAATTTTGGGTTTTTTCAATGATGGTTTCAATCACATGACGTTCTAACACACCAGAAATCAGATTTTTACTATTATGTATCTTACTACCAGCAATTGAACAGCCAAATTTTCTCAAGAGCTTTTTTACCTCTGATTCATTAATTTTAATACCTTTTTTCAGCCCACAAAATTTATCTAAATTTTTATGTAAATTGCCAATATCTTTTGATAATTGACCAGCACTATTGGAATCTTGACTTCCTAGTTGAAAACTTGTTGCATCGCCCAAAGCTGATTG